AATAAATGATGGTGGGAAAACTGCTTTCCACATGCTACATAGACTATTTAATAAATGATGGTGGGAAAACTTGTTTCCCACATGCCAAAGATTAAAACTAGATCTGTATCTTTCACCACGCACTAAACTAAAATCAAAATGGCTCCAAGATCTAAGTATTAAAACAGAAACACTAAATCTGGGGGAAGATAGAAAGAGAACTGTTGAAGACATTGATGTAGGAACAAAACCCTGAGCGCACTGGAAATTATCACAAGAATAAATATCTGGGATCTCATCTTATTAAAAAGCTTATGCACAGCAAAAGAAACCAAGAGAATGAAGAGACAACCCACACTGTGGGAAAAAAATTGTGCTGCTGTTTCTCAAACAATATCTAGAATATATAAAGAACTCAAAAAACCAGCCTCATCCTCAAATTTAAAGACCCAACACAAAAATGGGCATCTGAGATGAACAGACACTTCTCAGATGAAGTCACAAAACAGCAAATGAATTTATGAAAAAAGATTTTCAACATCACTGGTCATTGGAGAAATGTAAATTAAAACAGCACTGACATCCCATCTCCCTCCAGAAAGAATGGTTATTACCAAAACATCAACCAGTAACAAATACTGGCTAGACTGGGGAAAAAAGGACCCTTCTCCATCGTGGATTGGTGCAACCACTGTGGAAATAAGTGTGGAGATTCCTCTAACAATTGAAACTCAAGGTTCCATTTCACCCAGCTCTTCCTCCCCTTCTTGCTGTCTTCCGATATTAATTTATTTGCATCTGTTAGTATCATACTTTCCTCTTGCTAGCTGGTTTTCTGCTTTTTCAGTTTTTATATACATAAACAGAAGAAAATTTCATAAAACTAACTTGATATGTGATGTGTTGACACATTAAAGAATTGCTTTTGTTGTTTAACCAAGATCATATTTCTATTATTACTTAATAGGAAACAGTTTATATGTAAGGTCTGAATGTCTTACTGTGGTCTACATTTAGTTTTATATACTATTTTTAGGAATGAACATACAAAATGTTATTTCTCTTTAGTAGAGAACAGTAAGTTATCGTATAAATTTGAAAGCCATCTAACAAGTTCTGATCCAAAATGTGGTATACCACAAACTTTCAGGAAGTTTAAGAAAGGAAAAGTAATTACAACAGTTATAAACAGGAAGAGAAGATGAGAAAACATATAGTCTAAGTCTTTCTTAGTAAAAGGTGAAAGATTTATTCAATTTGAAAAGAAGCCAGGCATGGTGGCGCATGCCTGTAATCCCAGCACTAGGGAGGCTGAGGTAGGAGGATCATTGTGAGTTCGAGGCCAGCCTGAGCTGCCCAAGTGAGTTCAAGGCCAGCAAGAGTGAGACCCTGCATAGTGAGACCCTGTCTCAAAAAGGCAAACATACAAAAAAATTGAAGAGAAACTAGAGTATTAACCCTTTAAAAACAATTTTTTGAGTGAAATGTAATTGTTCAAATAAGTCCTAGTGATCACCAAGAATCATCACATGATAATTTAATAGCTATTATGAAAACAGGAAGGAGGCCCTTTTAAGACAAATTGTAATATTTTCATGGTGAAAGTTAGGTAAACAGTTTTAGAAATTTCCTGAATGGTTCACTTTAAAAAACTAATGTGGTGGCTCTGAATTACTTACATAATTACAGGTTGTGGTTTTATCTGTGAAAACCGAATATAATATTAAGTTCTAGAATGTATCACTTAACAATTACACAGAATACTACACCAGAAGAAGATGGCTTTTTTGATGCAAAATGACTAGGAAAGGTAAGCTAACATTATACAGTATTGAAAAGGAACCTACTAATTTTCCCTTTCATTTAAATCAACTGTCAAGAAAAAAATGTTGGGAGTTATATAATAAAATAAACAAGCCACCACAGCAAAGATGGCAGCAGATCTTTTAAAATGTAATAATATAAGACCAAAAAAAATAGCTCTTCAAAAGCCCTGATAGAACATTGTTAAAAGGCCAATATGCACGGGAAATAAAGGGCCAGCAAATTCATCTGAAAATAAGCATTACTGGTAGTGACTTCAAAATACACCTGCAAATTCTTTGCTATCCCTCCTTTCAAACGACAGGACAACTTAGTGTTTACCCTGAATGAAAAGAATGGCTAGAAAAGAGACTGTACACCTTCCGTAGAAATAACGCGTCTTCTCAGAAGGCGCATTCGCTCTCAGGGTGCTTTCCTCTAGAACTCACCTACCACGCTGTAAGGAAGCCCAGGCCAAAGGGGGGCCCCTAAGTTTTGTGATAATTTGTTTCACAGCAGTAGAAAACCAATAGTTACCTAGGCTGCACATGATATGGAAGAATTTTTCTCAAACTGAAAAGATAAGGCTTCTATAAACCAACTGCAGAATATCCTCTATTTAGTAAGTTTAAAAAGTTTTATTGGGGGTTGGGGATTTAGCTCAGCGGCAAAGCACCTGCCTGGCAAGCGCAAGGTCGTGAGTTCGGTTCCCGGTACCGGAAAAAAAAAAAAAAAAGTTTTATTGAAGACAATAAAACATCTTGAATTTGAAATTTTTAAGTTTGAAATCTGAGATAATTTAAATTCTAAATTCGTGAAGGTTTTGGCTATTATCCTTAAAGTACTGTAGCTCTGAAAAACAGTTTAAGTGGTCTGTATAGAAAACCAGAGGCCCGAGATAGCTCAGCGCCGCAGCGCCTGCCTGGCAAGTGCGAGGTCGTGAGTTCAATTCGTAGTACCAAAAAAATATGTATTATATATAAAATGCTACAGCTAATTATGAATTGTTCTGAAGTACTCGAAAAGTACGTAACACTATATGGAAAGCATTCAATAATTATTAAGTACTAAATGAACATAAGGCACTTCAAGCTCTTGTCACGTTTTACATACTGATTAGCTTGAATTCTTATGTGGCAACTGGTCGATCTGGTTTAAGCGAATTACTTGTGCACACCAGTGTACACGCTTTCCCACGAGTCTCTGAGGACACTTCTTCCCTTGTCCATCTCTGTGCCCCTGCTGAGCGGAACACAATGCTGCCTGTCAAGTGTTACACTTGACCAATATTTATACAAATGATCGGACTGCTGTGAAGTACTTCAAGCTAACCCAGGTGTCTTAAAGTTAGTTTTTTCTAACTTGCTCCCCGTCCCAGTTCATCCAGGTTAGCTGGGATGTTCCAAAGAGCACACTATACATTCCTTCTTTCCTTCACAAATGTATTTGTGACAAAGACAAGGGGACGAACGCCTTACACACGGAACTGGGAGCCTGTGATGCTGAGCCCACTCCCTCATCCTGGGTCCTGCCACACAGCTATGCAGGCTGCACGCACTGCGTGAGAACAACTGCTGCCCCTGGGCTGTGACGCAGCGGCCAGCTCGTGCCCTTCTCTGGCTCAAGACATGGGGACCTGATTCGTAAGATTTCTGTTCTACTGTAAGGCAGCAATCTGTAAATCAACATTATTTCGAAAGATTACAAAGAGACTATTTTGCTGAGAATAGGAAAAAATCAAGACATCTAATTTTAGTTTATTCCTCTAGTTTAGTCAGAACAGACATCCAACTTTTTCATAATGCCTATGGTTGGTCTTACACTTCTCACTAAATTAAAAATTTGAGAAAATTTAATTATAAGCTTAGTAACTGTCAGGCTGGGGATATAGCTCAGTGCCTGCCTGGCAAGCACGAAGTCCTGAGTTTGATTCCTGGTATCCCCCCCAAAAAAGGTTGAATTGTCTTTGAAAGCAAGTAATATTTAATTAAGCAATTGTTTTTCAATATAATTTACATTTATTTAGTGCTATAAATTAAGAGACTCAAAATTTTTCTGGATTCAGTCTAAAAAGAAAATTTATAGTAACAAGATAGAAGTTCTAGTATAGATTTTCCGGTTATATAGCCCCAGGCAAGTCACTTTAGATCTCTGCCTTCACTCATTTTAAACGGGGGGAATATTACCTTTTTTAACCTACTTTCTAAATAGGCAGACATAAAATTAAGTGGTCATATTTTTATAAAGCTGCTAAGAACACATAAGGTAAAATACATAAGGATTTATTATCATATCAGCTACTTTCTAATATTTAACATACATTTATACAATTTAACCAAAAGAAGATCACACACACTCATACTACAAAATTCAGTTATACAAGGTGAATTAAAATAAGTAAAGCTAGTCATAATAATAAATCCAGTCACCCATGTGCTCATTTAATTACATTAAAAATAATTATAAAAATAGGTAAAATTTTGTGAAAATATCTCTTTTATTGCAACTTAGGAATTCTTGCCCACGTCAACAGACTGCCTGGCATCAGCCACCGCCTCAGGTACTCGCACAGTCATGTTGTCCATCCACTTGCTCAAACAGATTTGGCAGCCCAACCGGGACCTGTACGGGAAAGAGAGACGACAGGGTCCGGTACTAAGAATGGATCATTCAACGGAATGGAGCTGTTTAGTACAGTTTTACATTTTCTTACACAAAGAAGCCAGGAAATGGATTAATGTTTTAAATTTTCATCCTGATGAAAATAAAGGGTAACGCAAGGTAATGTGAAAAGTAACCTGGTGTGCCACAGCTTCAGTGTAGCCTTCAGCTCCTATCATCTACTTACTGATTCACCAGAGCCGTAACTTTTTTGGTGCAAGAGCTGACTAGCAGTGAAAGAATCAGAGAGCACAAGAATCAGAGCGTGATATATTCCAGAACTTAGTGCCATCTACTATGGCATTCTGAAATGTGGGCATGTGACGATCGGTGCTCATGGCTAGTTTACATTTACTACAGGCCTTTTATGTCTGTCTATATTATGTGTCTTTTCTAAATGTAGTGCTACCCTTTTCACTTTAGAATACTGTCTACTATATACGCCTACAATTTTACCGGAAAGAAAAGGTAAGACATTAGCTACAAACCCTTTTATACAGAGATAAGATTCTGGGCTAAGAATACACCTTAGCAGTAAGTAGAGTGCTTTCCTAGCCCTAGGTCTCTAGCACTACAAACACAAAACAAAAATACAAGAGACAAATTCTCAGGATCAAACTAATGCAGTCACTGGACGTACTCTGTGATATTCATTATGCGGAAAAAAGGGTTGGGAGACAATGTGGCATGGAGTACATGAGTGGAGACGGGAAAGTGGCAGCCACGCTTGCTTTGCTTTGGTGTCTAAAGAAATAAATGTTACTTTGCCAGAATCACTTCTCAGAGTACTAGTTTCATCTCCATCAAGAGACAAATGAGGCCTGGGGATACACTTCAAGGGCACCTGCCCAGCAAGCTCAACTTCCTGGACTACATTCCCAGCAACCTCCCCCCCAAAAAAGGAGGGGAGAAAACTGTGAAAAAAACAAAATAACTCTTCATCTCTATATACAAATGATCTAAAAATTTTGTAAACATTAAGTATTAGATTTTGTTAAGTGACTAACAAAATTGGGGTTTATAATAACACCATTATTATTCGTAATTGCTTAGAAAAATAATTTTCCTTATAGTCCCAAATTACAGGTAAACAAAGTGCACCTTAATTAAGCAAAAAAACACCTCTTATCATAGCCCTTGAAACACTAAATCAGGTACAGACTTTCCTTGACTCAACCAGACTGGATAACTTTTTAAAAAGTGTCACTCGATGTTTCCTGCTACTATAAATCTTACCACATTTAAGAGAAACTTTTTTTTTTTTTTTTTTGTCTTTTTGAGATAGGGTCTCCCTATGCACTTCAGGCTGGCCTTGAGCTCACTTTGTAGCCCAGGTTGGCCTTGAACTCACAACGATCCTCCTGCCTCAGCCTTCTGAGTGCTGGGATTACAGACGTGAGTCACCATGCCTGGCCTGAAACCCTATTAATTAACAAGCTCTCATTAATTTATTTCAATGTTTACTTAGAAAAAGAACTAATCTTACTTAATAGAACTGCTATTATATCTAAGCTTCTTTAGAAATTCTTTTCTCTCAAATAGACAAAATTGTCCACTATAATTTTGTTAAATTATAAATCTGTCCATCATACAAAACTGGTATGTGCACACCCAGTGTGGAGAACAACCTGGGCGACTCTCCTTGAAAGAGGAGCAATTGTCTTCATGTTGGCTGAGCCTGACCCTATTTCCATGTATTAATGTGTACAGAGCTGGCTGGGACTTTTCCTTATCCCATCAGTTGGCTTTCAACAATGCAAACTGGTCTAGCCGAGGTGCTAATGGTAGTCTTTGAAGACAGCAGGCGTGTCCCCTGCTCCTTTGTTGTTCCCATGTGTGAGCCAGTGCTCCATGCTGTTGGCTGGGATGAGCCTCGAGACAGAGACAGAGACTGTAACTTCCAGGGGCTTGAAAGATTACACATCAGAGCTGAAGCACCGACCCCAAAACATCAGATACTATCTCAACTGTGTCACGCAGATTACTCTTCCTGCATGTCCTCTCTGCATTGCAGAGGTGATTTCAGGCCTCCTACCCAGCCCAGCTCACAGCACTCACTACTTCCCACTGTTCTCAGTCACTCATCCTCAAGCCACTCCTTTCTCATAAATGAATAAAACCCGGGTTTGGCCTTGGAATGAGGTCTGTGTTCCAGATGGCCATCATGGGCTGGACTTAGGACCCCTGGGCTCCCCATAACTACAAATATGCCTTAGTGTCTTTATTCTCGCCATGGGTTGCACTGGAAGTGGCAGATTGGAATTAAGTTGCTAGAACTCCAATAACTTTTCATGGGATTATAAATGTAAACTTCCTGGGTCTCATCATGGATTGCACTGGAAGTGGCAGACTGGAATGAACGCACTAGAATTTCAATAAATTTTCATACAGTTTCAAATATAAATTTCCTGGGCTGCGACAAGCACTGGGGACTCTCTATAACCCATGTTTATAGAAACACAGTTTGTAATAGCTAAATCTTGGAAACAACCCAAAGGCCCATCAACCAATAAATGGGTAAAGAAGATGTGGTTCTCCTATACAAAGGAGTACTACTCTGCCTTAAAGAAGGATAAACTTTTTAGGTAAATGGATGCACCCTGAGACCATACTGCTAAGTGAAATAAATCAGACACGCATGTTCAAATATCACATGGTTTCTCTGGTATGAGAAACCAGAAGTATAAATAAGGAACAAAATATATGAAAGGCATTAGAAAATGGGAATAAAATGTTCAAAAGAGAAGGTGTCTTGGTTACTTTTCTCTTGTTGCTGAGACAAAATATTTGACACCCAAAATTAAGGAAGGAACAGTTTATTTAGCTCACAGTTTGTGGAGTTTTCAATCCATGGAGGTTTCAGTCCATACTCAGCTGGTTCCAAGAGCAAAAGGGAGGAGTGGCAGCAAGCAGCCTCTTTCCCTCCCTTATATTGTAAACAGGCTGCCCCCACCCAGGGGGTGTGTAGCCCTGACATAATCTCCATGCCCTCCTCCAGCACAGGCTCCGAGGAACACAAAGTAAGCACCCTGGCTCCCTGCTGAATCACATAATTAACCTTCCAAACTTCTGGAAGTGACACAATGAACAACATCCCAGAAGGGTAAGGGCATGCCCTTTTCACCCCAGGATACAGAACTGCTGAATCACTTAGCCAAACCCCTAGACTCCCCAAGTTGACACAATGTATCAACCATAACAGAATGCGAACAAAGGAAGTGGAAGACTAAAAGAAAGAAGAGATAAGGAAAAAAGAAGAGATAGAAGAAAAAAGTAGAAACAGTTTGTGTAAATGAGAGGAAGAGAGGTTGAAGGAAAGGAAGGGGGATGGGGAAAAAAAGAAGCAAGTTATATCCCGCACAGGTACAAATTCCCTATGATGAATGTTATCTTCATGTACATCTAAAATGCACCAATAAAATAAAAAAAAAAAACAGAAAAACACCATTCTGTTCAATTGTGTTATACATTTACTTTCTGAAGTAAAAACAGACTAAAGAAATTAGGATGTAAAACTTCCAGTTACTTTTTTCACTTTTGTAAGTACATACAAAGTAATGAATAGAGGACATTCTCACGGTATTAATACAACTGAAGCCGGATTAAAATCTCACCTGTCTGTCAGTCCATAAGCCAGATCAAGCATGTCGTTCTCCTCATCGGTGATCACATCTAACTTCTCATACACGTGATCTTCGAAGATGAGGTGGCAGGTAGAGCAAGCCAAGGTTCCCTCACAGGCACCTGTGAAAGCAGCCAACACTGAACGTATCTCCTACGTTTACACAGTCAAGACCTACAGTTAAAATACTGCTAAAATTTAGAATGAGCGTTACCACAATAAACGAAAGAGCCTTAATAATGAATCAGATATAGCTCCTCCACTACACACACAGTACTTAAAAGCACTAGTATCTCTCAAAGGTTCCGGACTAGGTGCTGTGAAAAGAAACACCAACACACCGTCCTGATATCAAAGAGCTTACAATTTTATAAGCTGATACATGATACATAAAAAATGTACACCTTCAAATATACATAAAAATAATACATGTAACAGCTACGCAAGTTATTTACCTTTCCTGGAGAGCTTGACACACTTTATGAAGATGTGTTACATAGGAACTAAAAAGCAACCAAATCTATACCAAATAAAGTTAAACATTCTTTCCTGTCAGTCTCCATGGTAATCGGGGCAGAGAATAAAGAACTCACTTTAGTAGTCACCTTGATTTTAAATAGATAAGAACATTTCTCCTGTTCCATTTTGAAGTCATTAGGGTTACTGAGTGAGTACCTCCTATGTGCCAGACACTAGGAAAAAGTCATCTCGTCCGACCAGACCGCGTTGGAATATACCTCTGCAGTATCTCTCTCCCAAGTCAGCCAGCCTCTGCTTGGAAATCTCCTGACAGAGAAACCTATACCATACAAGCTACCCATTTCCCACTCACTTGGCTTCCACTACAACCTTCGCATCCTGTTCAACTCTGTGTTTTGTGGAATAAACCTACGCAGTAACTTTTTGTCGTATTTGAGGCAATACATCTCACCCAGCTCCTTCAAATTTTTTTTACACAACTCAAATTGCTTTCCTCATATGAGACACAGGGTACACATTAGTACTTGGAGGAAAAAGTCATACAGAATCATGTTCTGACTAAAGTAAACTTTAAAAAGTTTTTGTTTTTTTAAGAATTTTTGAAAGCTACCAGACAACTCAGGACTGCAGAGTCTTGAGTAACTTCAGTTTCAGTTGGAGTCCCTTTCAGTGAGTAACACTAATGTATATAAATTATGTAATGGAGCTGCTATTAATATCTGGTTACCTTGACTTGCTTCTAAAAGAATCATTTAAAAAGTTGTTTGGCCGGGGAGGTAGCTCAGTGGCACCTGCCTGGCAAGGGCAAGGTCCTGAGTTTGATTCCTGGTACAAAAAAAAAAAAAGAGTTGTCTTCTCATAATTTCAACACTTGTTATTCATATTGTATTATCTTTAAAAAGTAAAAAAAGAAAAGAGAGGCTTAACTAAAACTTTTTCATTAAATTCAATTCAAAGCAGCAACAGGGTCACAGGTCAGAGACACCATCTAGTCAAGTGCAGGGATTAGGAGCATGCTGTGGGACTAGACTCCCTGGCTTCAACCACAGGTCCTTTGTTTAGTAACTGTGTCACGCTGGACTACTGTACTCTTCCTGCCCCAGTTTCCTCAACAGTAACTCTATCAAGCTTGCATGGTAGTTCCAAGAATTATCTATGAGTATGCACTTATACACATTCATTTATGTACTGGTTACCATGAGTGGTAGATAGTAAGTGCTATGAAAGTGTTGGTAACTATCTGTATTTGGAAACTATAAGTCTTACAGCAACCTTTCTTTTTACACATAAAAAATTTAACACAAAAAGTTAAAGAAATGGATTAAGATCATACTACTAGTTAGAAGAGTTGATTTTAGCTGTTTCCAAATGAAGACTACTTCCTGCCATACAATAGTGTGAGTCACCTTAATTGTTAAATATATATACATACACCTGTGTGTTCACACATGAATGTATATCCTAGTTGATTACAGCAAGTTGCTTACTTTCATATTTTTGTGTAAACATGCAATACTTCACACAAAAAATAAATGGACATATCTTCTTTAAAGAGGGAGAGGAAGGGGTCTTATTTATTGCAGTAAAAAGAGAACTGATGCAGTGGGACTCTGAGGTCAAGGTCTAGGCTCTGGTGAAACAACCCCACCACTATTAGCTGTGTCCTGGGTGAGTCTCTCAAGGGTCAACCTTCTCATCTGCACAACAAAAGAGTGAGGCAGGTGATGACTAAGGTGCTAATGGCACTGGTATCTCATGATACCACAAAAAAGGAGTTATAGTTTTTAGTGGATTTTCCTACTAGTACCTGAGAAGCACCTACTTGTCTTGACTTCTATTTTTATCTCATCAATACCCAATCCAGACAAACTCCAGACTAAAATGGTAAAACCCTCTGGGGGTAATGCAGAAGAAAACCCAAAAGTCCAATGTCTTTTTTCCTAAAAATGTTAAGTTTAACAAGGCTTACAAGATATTCCTAGTTAAACAAGTCCTGAGAATCATATGCCACCTTGCTTCCCACCGCAGTGGGAAGTCACTCAGGGAAGTCTTTCACACTGAGGTGCCATGGAAGTGACACTGGCAAGGGGGTTAAGAACACTTGTCCCTTCATCCCTCTTCTTCTGGATCCAGCCCCAGGAACAATGGTGGCTGTGAACACGTGCTGTAAGTTTTGGAAAATGAGTAAGGATTTAAGCAGGAAAGTGACATGGCATACTTTAGTTTGGGTAGATTCAAGAGGATCAGGAGACTAAAAAGCTATGGATTTCACAAAAGGGGAATGGGAAAAAGTGGGAAGGAAAGAAGGAAGGACAGGGACAGCCAAGGGGAGACCCCTCCTGGAGAAGGGGAGTCAAAGTGAGCACAGTTGCTGAGATAGACAATCAAGAATGTTTAATGTCAGAAAAGCTCAAGGAAGAAAAATGTACAGTGTTGGTCTCAATCACCTCAAAATGGAGAAAAAGGGTTCATATGCCAATAATTCCCTCCTGAAAAATTTAGGATATTCATTTTTGTACCACCTGGATGGATGAAGGGAAGAATTACTATTCCTTTTATAGGTCTTCATGGACTTTAAATTTCCCTCCACTCTCTTCCTCATAAAATTTCATTTTAACCTTTCCTTATCGGTCTTTTATTTTCTAATAATTTTCAGCACCATTCTCAGGAAACTTGCCAATAGTTCCACAACTTGCTTAAATTGTCAACCTCAGAGTTGAAGAGAGTATTCTAGTGAGAATTTGACAAAAGTTAAATATATATAGCAGATTAGCTTTTAATCCCTACATACTAAGTTCCGTTTGTACATTCTAGTCCTGTATTTAAATAAATGCACTATAGTAGAGTTCCCATCCTGGGACAAAATACCTTACACATCCAACTTTAGGACGAGAGGTATATTTTGGCTCATTTCAGAGGGTTCAGTCCATGGTAAGCTAACTCCAATGCAGAAACAACATAGTGGAAAAGCCAACAGAGGAAAGAAAGCTGCTCAGCTTATGGCAGTCAGGAAACAGAGAGCACGGGAAGAACTTGAGAGATATACCCTCTCTTAAGGCCCACCCCGAAAGCCCTACCTCCTCCAGCTGGGCCCCATTTCCTAACAGTACATTTAGGTATGATCTCATCAATGGGTTAATCCACTGATAAATTTACCATGCCCAAGATTCCATCACCTTCTGACCTACCTCTGAAAGCATGAGCCTTCTGGAGAATATTTCACATCTAAACCTCCTTACTTCATAATCCCTTTCAGAATTTTTCTAACACAAAAGTGGTCAACAAATTATACTTCTCTTATCCTATATACTAGGTAGAAATTGTCATAAAACAAAACTGTAAGCCTCAAAATAAAATCAGCTCAACCTTATGATAGCCGAAAACCTAAACTAGAGAAACATAATGGTCAGGCTGTGTTACAAATATCACTGAAGAATCAAATCTACAGCAAAGATTGGCAAGACCCCATGGACAGCACTTAGTGGAAGAAATACTCTATCCTCCCTAACTCCATAATAAAACAACAATCTGAATAGTTTTTGGAGTTTTGAGAGTTGACTTATATTTTTTATTTTTTAAATGGAAAGATTTTAGAGAATAGTAGAGACAAGTACTGCATTAAAAAAAGTATTTAAGAGAAAAACAACTTTTTAAATATGGTAAAGATTTGATTATAAAAAGAACCTACAACTGTTAGAACAAGAGGCTATGTACAGGGGAAGAAGTCATGCCCTTTCTGTTCTTTTTACCGCTTCCTTTTCTATGTGACTCTTATTTCTTTGGCCAAAAGAAAGAAGGTACTTGTGGCCTCCTAATACACTGGCCACAACTTTCAATGTGATGTTAAAAAAGAATGGTAAGAGTAGTTTCCTTTGCCATATATACATACACACACACACACACACACACTCACTCACACATGAAGTAACCACATTTTATGAGGTATGCACTCTCAACAGACTTTGGAAACTATGTACATATCATATGCCAAAAAAGTTACTTTCTCAGCTGGATGCTCTGGCCCACATATACAATCCCAGGTACTTAAGAGGCTGAGGCAGGGAAGACCACAAATTCAAGGCCAGCCTTGGCAACACACCAAGAACTCACCTCAAAACAAAACACACCTTCTCAAAGAAACAAAATGTAAAATAAGCACCTTACAGTTCATAAATCTACAATCCTCGTTTAGTTTTAAAATATATGAACAAATACTGGAAGTAAAACTATTTTTTCCACTGCTATGTCTACCTTTCAAATAACCAAAAATGCTCATGCCTTGAAGAACAGAAAGGTAGTTACCAGAGGACAGAAGACAGGGAGAGGTAATGAGATGTGTTCAAAAGCTGTTCATTTAGATAGGAGGGGTAAGTTTAGAGATCTGCCACACAGTACAGTGATCTGAGCTAATACTGTACTGTACATTTTGAAATTGCTAAAAGTAAATCTCAGATGTCTCACCACAAAACAATAAGTGAAGTGAAGGATTTACTGGCCTGACTTAGTCATTCCACATTGTATACACATACCGAACATCATGCTGTACCCCACAAATATATATAATTATGACTTTTCAACTAAAAATAATCTAAAAATACTTCTGCCTTAGCATAGATGATAATCTGATTTAGAAACAATATAG